ATAAATGAAAATTAAAGAGTCATTTCATGCAGAAAAAATAAATAATTAAAGTATAAATTGATAAATTTTAAATTTCAAAAAATATTTAATCATTTTTTTATTTCCATAACTGATTTATTGATAATGATAAGAAATTTCCGTAAAAATTTTCTACAAAACAAACAGGTTATTCATTAGAGTACTTTTTCAGCAGCGACAAATATTTTTGTCTGTTTTTTGTAGCAAAAAAAAATTGCAAAAAGTAAAAAAAATGCGCAATTTTGAGGAAATCAAAAAAAAAGCCCGCTCGTTATTATTTTTATTAATTTTATAATTATTTTTCACGTTACTTTATTATTCTGACAATTGTTTTATATGCAAACGTGTGATATACTAAAGTGATTATTGTGTTATAGGTATTTTTGAATGTGTCAGTCAGTCAACCCTTGTAGAAATTAAATACGACAAGTGGGAAAAAATTTGGATTGAGATATTTTTTGAACTAATAAAAAAATAGTTTTTCGTGATAATTATCTTGGTTATCAATTAAGGATAACGAAAATTTGTTCAAAATTGGATCAAATATAAAATTTACAAATTTATATCAATTAAATAATAATTTTAAATATTAAAAATAATGTGCTCTTTTGATTACACAATGAACTTTGAAACTTTGATGAATTTAGTGAAGATTAATTCTAACTCCAATTTATACAAGATTAATTTTAACTCCAATTTATACTTTCAAGAGACAGTATTCCATTTTTAATCTGGAATACTTTTTGTTGCACTAAATCAGTCGAAAATTGAATAATTTCAGTCTAGCATTGAATCAATTAATCTGAAGTTAAGCTGAATATGTTAATTAATCTGAAGTTAAGCTGTATATGTAAATTATTCTGAAGTTAAGCTGAATATGTAAATTAATCGAGTACTATAATTCTTTATTTGATTATTTTAATTAGATTATCCTTGATGCTGAAATGTGTTAAATCAAGTAAAATGATAAATGATGATAAGGCAATTTTTGATTTTATTCAGTAAATTAGCAAATTGTATTTGTGAATGTATTTTCAAACTTGAAAGCCTCCTTTATCTTCTGACAAAATGACAATTTGATAAAAGAAGCAATCAAATTTCAGAAGTAAAGGCAGGATAATTTATCATACATCAAATTAGTCTAAAAAGTTAATTAAAAAAGTATTGCATTAAAATTTATACTTTTTTTTGGCAAGTTTTTGTCAAAAAAATAATTTATCACGAATTGTACAAGTTTTTGTGAAATGGAATGGAATGGAATGTAATGGAATGCATTTCAAGTTATCAGTTATCAGAAAAGAGCTAAAAATGTTTTTTCTACCAAAAAAAAGATTACATTTATTTGAAAGGAAAAAATATTTCATGCAAAATAGAAAATCAGTCATTCATAACTTTTTAATTATTTATTTTACACACATTTGTAACAATTATTGAAGCTTTAATTGAAAAATCAAATCAAATCAATTTAGATTATTTATTTAATTAAATTAAAAAATTATCAGAAAAATAATTTCAATTCACATATACGAATTAAAATTTTTTGCTCACTGTCATTCTTACAAACTTTAATTTTATTAATAACACTTCAAAAAATTTTCATTTCTTTTAAGCTACAAAGTTGTTATATTTTTAAGAAATAATAAAATAATGATTAATTTTGTTGAGATAATTATTTTAAAATATTGTAAACATTTTTATTACTACAATAATTCATTAATATTTATTTACAAGTCTAAATATTTGATATTTTGTAGCATTCTTTGAGTACATCTTTTAATTTAATTATAAACAAAATAATAATAATAATATTATTTGATATTTGATAAATGATAATTTATTTGATTACATAAAAATGATTTCATTTTGTACAAGTTAATTATTTTTCAAATATTATTTTTAAAAACTTAAATTGCAAAAGTGTAAAAGAATTATATTTTTAAAAATAATTAAATTAAATCATTTAATCGTTCTTTTCAGCAGCTAAAATTTTTGCTATTTTAGGTAATAAATATTTGTGTAAATGAAATTGGAAGCAATTTCAAATGATACTTTCCGGTAAATAATTTCATTTTGAATTGCATTTTTTTTTTGATAATTAAGTAAGTATTAAAAAATAAAGCATTTGTGTCTATAAATTTGAAAATATGTAATGATTGCTAGCATTTTTTGATAAAAAAATTTTTTTTAATGTCATTTTAAATAGGAAAAACTAATTCATCTTATCATATTATTGTATTTTTCTTCTGTAAGTTTGCACAAATTCTTTTGCAATCTCTCAGTTCAGTTTTGATTGCTAGTAATGTTTATTTGAAATTACTTATAAAATTAATGAAAAATAATAAAATTATTAATTATTCAATTTAGTTTGCTTAATTATTTCATGCTAAAAAGCGTAAACAAATGCTTAAAAAATTTTTCGTAGACTATTTATTTGTATGAATATTTGAAATAATATGCTAAAAGTATTTGTTGAATTCAAATTACAAATATTTCAAATGCAAAGTTTTTTTTTGTGGAATTTATAAGTTTGTGTTTAATTTATAAGAAATATTTCATGCAAAAAGTAAACAATTATAAAGTAATCAGAAATGATTCATCGAATTTTACTCATTTTCACAAATTTTTGACAAAAAAAAAGAGCAATAATTTTTTATTGAAATTATCAATGCAAAAATTTTTAAAAAACGATCAAAAAATTTTGCTTTTGCTAATTTTTAGTAAATTTTTTAGGTTATTACTTGATGAATTTATACTCAAATAATTATTTTATTCAGTTAATTGTGTTTCATTTATTCAAGCGCAAAAGTATCAATTAAAATTACAATTTTTAATATGCTAAATTGTAAACATTACAAAAACAAAACAAACAAATTACACAAAATTATTAAAAATAAAATGATGTGATATATTTAATGTTTATTGCGCATATAGCAGTACCAAATAGCATGAATAACAGCTGGAAGAACCAGAATGATTAGCAAGATGATATTCAAGCACACATGACAGGTACACTTCCGATCGTGGTACCATATTGCAAGAGGCTGCAAAAGAGTGTAATTTTTAAAAATATTTGCATGAAAGTATTATCACACCATAAAGCATGAGTAAAATCTTGAAATTATAATTAGTTAATTAATTATTAAAGTTTACAGTACAGATTAAATAATTTATAGTTACCGGTAGGGTCAGAATAAGAACGATTTCAATGATTTTATCCACGTCAGTCGACATTTCACTGCCACTTTTTAAGGTAGATGCTGACGCAGTTAGCGCCACTGCTATATTCGTTGACGTGTTGAATGCGTATGTTACGGCTGGTCAATGACAGCCAATAAAATGATCAATCTGAAAAATTAAAATAACTTCGAACTTTTCATATTAATAGATGAATGCATTAAATACTGAAATATTTATGATTTTC